AGACGAATTCGAGGTTTTTATTCATGATAATCACCGAACCTGAGGTGAATAATTGTTTTAGTATAATTTCATAGGTGATTATTTGGGAAAAAATAACAAAATACACATTTCTTTGACATTTAATTGACAAAACTGCTTCGGCCACCATTTCCAAAATTGCTTAGGTGATTATCGCATTATAATCACCTCAACGGCAACTAATCAGCGTGGAGAATTCTCACTATTTATTAATAACTGTTGTTACTTATTAGGTTCTTCTTGTCGAACAAGGGTAATAAAACATCTTGCAAAAGAGTTTAACTCATTATCAGAAGCAGAGGAGTGTTTACAAATTGATTATATATCTAGCAGCAATGACAGTGTTGATATTACAGCAAGAATTAATGGTTGTCAAACCCCACAAACATCCCCTGCTGTTGATGAACCATTGTCACCAGTTTTTGCATCATCTCCAACAATTCCACCAGATAATAACAAAGTTCCCTGTCATGTTGGTGACCTAATAAAAGAGTTTTTGGCATGCTTTAAAGGCCCAATGTCATATAGACTAAAGACACAGCTTTTGAACTATTTATTCAAACTTATTGTGATGGAAATTGGTGGGATAGAGTTGTTCAAATTTGTAAATCCAGACTTCATAAATACAAGTTTAAATGCAACAAAGACTCTGCTTGATGAAGGAAAGCACAACTTGATTTTTAATTTGTGTCAATGTTTTCAAAGAACAGACGCAGGAACTCCCACCAGAATGCCATTGGACAGAATGCCATATGGCATGCTTGACTATAATATACGGTTTTTTGCAAGTTCTCAAACAAGAAAGCTGGGCTATGAAGAACACTATGCTTCCTGGCTCGAGACAATGTTTTCGCAATTCGGGCACAAGTGGTTGTGCTTGCACAGAGGGCCAGTATGGCAATACCAAGAGAGTAGCAAATTAGAGATTGGCGAAGGCAAATCCCTTGTAGAAATTGCACTTGATGAGAGTGGAATTGAACTAGAAGAGCAAGTATATGAGAATGATGATGACATAAGCCAAAGTGATTTCCAGCAATCATTAACCAACTTGATTTGCCTTTCTAATGATGGAACTTTGGAGAATGTTGAGTCAAGTTTGGACAATTTGACATTATTTGATTATGACAATAATGAAGTTGAAACTGGCTATTTGGAAATTGAATTACAACCAACCAGCGTGGCACCTGCCTTGCCTGTCAATGAGCAGAATGGAACCACAGTTAATGAGAATTCTAAAGAATCTGAATGTAGCGAAGTCTTGCAAACTCTAAGTGTTTCAAACCTGTGGAGTCAATTGACTGATGATGAACAAAGTGAAATGGAAAAGGGGCTAATAAGTTCAAAAGAAATGGAAACATATCATGGCATACAACCAGGTTTACAAAAGAAAGTTAAAAGAAATTCAGGTTTATTTGATCCTATGAAGGTATGTCTATTTACATTAATGCGATTAGATATTTTTTATAACTCACTAGTGTGAAATGTCATTTACCATTAAGGGGCAATGGTGCGTTTTCACTGCTTAACCAAAGATGAACATATTCACCCAGATGTTAAGCTGTGATGCACCCTTGCCCCTTAGGCTGCTACTGTATGTATCATACATTTGTGTTACTCTGTCTAACAGACTAACACCACATTGTTTAATTTACTCTGTCTAACACCAAACAAATTTGAATTTTTTTCTGTGTTGGTGTAGTGTACTCAGGTGAATATGATATTTGTGGTGTTACTCTGAGTGTATATCCACACCGGGCGAGCTTGAAAAATATGCCCGGCCACGGTGGGATTCGAACCTACAACCTTTGGAATACTAGCCCAATGCTAGAAGAGCAAGTATATGAGAATGATGATGACATAAGCCAAAGTGATTTCCAGCAATCATTAACCAACTTGATTTGCCTTTCTAATGATGGAACTTTGGAGAATGTTGAGTCAAGTTTGGACAATTTGACATTATTTGATTATGACAATAATGAAGTTGAAACTGGCTATTTGGAAATTGAATTACAACCAACCAGCGTGGCACCTGCCTTGCCTGTCAATGAGCAGAATGGAACCACAGTTATACACTGGATATATACTGGATATATACACTGGATATACACAGTTATACACTGGATATACACTCAGAGTAACACCACAAATATCATATTCACCTGAGTACACTACACCAACACAGAAAAAAATTCATATTACTAGAATACATTGGTATCGAAGGAACTAGATACTGTTCCGAAATATCACTTACTCGAACCGTCCTGACCGCGTAGCTCAGTTGGAAGAGCATTGGGCTAGTATTCCAAAGGTCGTAGGTTCGAATCCCACCGTGGCCGGGCATATTTTTCCAGCTCGCCTGGTGTGGATATGCACTCAGAGTAACATCGCAAACATACTACATATTTGTTATTAATGCAAGTAATTTCTTTATATTTTAAAACGATTCGTTATCTACGTCCCATATGATCACATCTTTTCTATATAACACTTTGGATCGACCCTTGCCATATATAAACATAAACAAAAACCGCGCAAAGCATTACCGTGACACTCATTCTTAAATATTGATGTATTGTTTGCTTTTTAATTGCTTTATATAAAGAATACTAATGAGATGGCATCTTTTGTAGTCGTATTTTAAGCGATTCAAAACACTAGTTGTCGTGTTTTATCAGATATAAAGATTCCACTCACACCTAATGCATTTCAAATACTTGATGTGGAAGAATCAAGTTCTGGCAATGACCAAAATTCCAAATTAAAGAAGCCAACCACCCAAGGGAATCAGCTAAGGACTCGTTGTAGAAAGCGTCCAAAACCTAAAGGCAAGGAATTGAGAGAGGACCCCGGCAACAATGTGGTTACCATGAAGAAATCCTCCACGAAGCAGAGCCAGGAGAAAGCAGTTTTGGTGATAGGGGACTCTATGGCAAAGCATATTGACGGTAACAAAATTGGCAGAGCTGCACGTGGCAAAGCAATTTCACATTCCTACAGTGGTGCCACTGTGAACCAGCTCGCGATGTTTGATGAGAACCATGCAGAGGAAGAGCAGTACAACACCATTATCCTTCATGTTGGAACAAATGACTTGGTGCGTGAAGAACCAAAGAAGGTTGCTGCAGACATGGAAAATCTCATCAAAAGAGCAAAGGCGCACACCAACAAATTAGCTGTATCTGGTGTTATCAAGCGTTATGATGGCAAAGTAAACAATCATAAAATTGATCAATATTTAACAATTATTCGCCGAAGGCGAGGTGAATATCGCTGAATATCGCAGGTTTTAAAGCCACTATATAAAATCAATATTTAAAACAAACTTACCTTCGTTAACGTCGGCTCCCTTCTTTTAGCTGATTCTTTCGCCCTTCCTTTCTTGAAATTTACAAAATCGTGCAGAAATACGAGCAAAAATGAAATATATTTGCAAGAAATTTATCAATCATCAAATCAAGAAATGTTTGCTATTTCGTTGTCGTCATGCAGTCGTTATAATGCAAACTTTAAATTGGACCAATCAGTGTCCGTTATTCATGACAATCCGCCATATTTTTGAGATCAGTGAGGATGACCACCCATCGTTGGTGACCGACGCCCGCGATCATTGATGAACTTTAGATTTCGCTAATGCTTTTGTTTCCCCGGCTGTAAATAGCAGGGGGGAATTAGTACCCTCGCACGGCGCTTCGCGCCGCCGGCTCGGGGATTAAAGCTGGATTCTTTCACCGTGATGTCATGCCAAAAGGTGTCTTTTCCATTTGTTAAAATTAATTTAAAAAAGATCCCGGCTCTATATTTTGATTTGTGATTTGGTAATATTAATTACAGTTGTATATTTGATTATTTTGTTAGTGCTCAATAAGTTTGAATTTGTTCTGAGAAAACAGTCAAACTTCAGACCAAACTTCTACGCTGTTGCTTATTTAGTAGTTTAATTAACTGCCCATCACTTTTAAAACAGCAAGAAGATAAAGACAACGTATACAGGTGAGTTATCCATGGAATAAATAGTTGGTTGGTTGAACTTAAAAAATTCGGGCCCCTTCCTTTTACGGGGCCCCCTCAAAATGTTTTCTGGTAAGCAAAAATGTTACAGTAAAATGTAAAGTGTGGGAGGGGGGTGGGTGGGTTGGGGCGACGTTTTTGTGAAAAAACGTTCCAAAAATTATTTTTGCGATAATGGGGGGTTCAAAATACTTTTCAGACCTTTTTCGACCTCAATTTTAGAACACGTTGCGCAATTCCAGCATTCCGGGGCCCCCTCTGGGAAATTTGGGCCCCCTTTCAAGTTGACTTTTTTGGCCTGAGAACTGCCTGAGTGTTCTAGATGTATCATCCAGAAATGGTTGGATAAATGTAATTGAAATTGGACCAAAAGTATATGTCAGATAACGTGTAACCACAAACAGCCATACAAAAGAGAAGAAATATACCGGGGGAAATCCCTACATGTAGCTTAACATAAACAGGAGAGATTATTTATAACTCATTAATTTTATCCACGAAGAAGGAATTCATTTTGTAAACCAGCTATTTATTTCATGGATAACTCACTCGTACACGTTGTCTTTATCTTCTTGCTGTTTTAAAAGTGATGGCCAGTTAATAAGTAACAGTTCTTAGAAGTTTGGTCTGAAGTTTGACCAAAGTTATTGAGCAACAACAAAATAATCAAATATACAAGACATACAACTGTAGTAAATATTACCAAATCATAAATCAACAGAGGGTCTTTTTTAAAAATAGAAAAGACACCTTTTGGCATGACATCACAGTGAAAGAATCCAGCTTTAATATTAATTAAATTAACTACTGTAAGTAAACGAATTACAATTTTAACGTAAAATGACCGATGTTTTTGACAAAAAGCGCGTGCACTATTTATGTTCGAAAAGTTATAAGCACGACGAGTCGTGAAAGAACAGATGTTTATGGGAAGGGGAGAGAAAATACACTTGCTATACTTATCGCGGCATATCCCCGATAAAATATAATTAAAACCAAATCAGCGGCGCCGGCTATTCAATATATTATAGGCATTACGTGAACAATAAGCGACTGTGGCAGTGTGATTTAGACCTAAATGCTTTCTGCCAGTCGTACGTACAGCTTTAGCTAAGGTAGTTTTATTGGCCTAGGCTTGTTTACTCGAAGAAGTAAACACTTTTGACGAGCTCTTTGGTTATTTATAGAAATATATGACTCGACGTTGATTACATAACATACGGTTATTCGGGTCAAATAGGGGTTACGAAAAAAATCGTCAAATTTCAATTCTACGTTGCCCCAAAATTTTATTTGATCAACAGCAAGCAAAAACATATTTCTTTGACCTGGTTATGAATTTTTTGTCTGAATCGATGTAACAATGGAGATATTCGCTGCCTAATATGGCATATAATAAAGAGGTTCAAAAATAAAAAACATTAAGAAAATCTGTAAAATATTCATTTTTTACAGAAATGTCTCTAAATTTCGTCTGCTACTCAATAAATAACTCTAATTTATAAAACGAAATCATATTTTGTGAAATATTCCCATTAACGTGCAAAATAGAGCGATTTTGGTAGTGCCGTAAAATGACCTCTAAAAACCGAAAGTGGCCTGGGAAAACCAATTTCGACGTCTCTCTCCTTCAATATTTATCCGATCGAAATAAAACTTTCACAACATTAATACTTCATATAGGCCTACAATCTGACAAAGTTTGAAAGATTTTGAATTTTTTCATTTTACACGTCTTACCTGACTATTACAGACAACCGCTCCTAAGCCGCATAGCAAACCATTTCTTGTTATCACAGTCTATAGACCACCCAGTGCATTATCAGAATTCTTTGATCATTTAAAAAATAGGTACGCAGTGCGTACATGTTGCATGCCATCAAAATAATGAAACCTCATGACTCATAATACTATACGGAAATCTATCTCCATTGCTTCCTGTGTAAGTACTATTTGTCATGATTTGTCACTCGGCAAGTACCATAACCAGAAGCAGTCACCTCCCTGGCACTGAACAAAGACACACAAGGTCGATTTAGAGTAACCGCTGTCACGTCCCAGCCAGTGCGTGCCGAAGAGGCATTCCCTCTGGACGTGTCATTTTGAATATTGTCAGGGGGTGAATGCCTCCCAAAAGCGCATCAGCCAGGATCATGGCGTCAGCATTTTGATGATAAATTACGATCATGCCAAAATCATTGAAAAATCATAGGAAAAACCAAGAAATTGGGCTTTTGTATGACCCACCCTGTTCCCTGGTTATGATGGGCTACTGCTTATAACTTTTGGTACAACTGGCCTAAAACTTAAAATATTGATTCAATAAGTTAAATATCAATATATTTATTGAAAAAGTAGCTAATATGTCAAAATAAGAAAACTTAAGATTCTCACGCGAATAGGCAATGTTTTTATGAG